AAAAAAAAAAAAAAAAGAAGGTGAATGATGACACCACGAAAAACCCTACTTCTAGACCAAATGACCAGATTCCATGCTGCTGCTGTGTATAAAGACCCTGCAGAACAGCCCATGTCGGAGTCACGGCCACGCACAATCCTCTGTCACAGGCACTTCATCTCATCCCTCACATCAGCAGTCTATGTTGTCCCCATTTGGGGCGCAACAAGTTGAGCAAGTTGTCCCCCATTTGGGGCACCTAACCTAAGTGCTCTCAACCTGGGGGAGGTGTGCTGCTATTTCTTTAGGGCCCAGGCTGACACCCCTAGAGGTACTTTCTCGCACAAACGTGTTACAGATTTGCCAACCACTAGACAAGGAGTGCACACTTTTGTTATGAGTGAGAATATAAACCTGAACTTGGCATGTTAATTGTCGAGCGCATTTTTAATGTGCCCAGAGACCTAGGCCATGCACGGTGCATAACGGAGTAAAGACCTCAGTCTAAGTAAGACAGTGCCTTCGCTAGTGGAAGGTCCAAAGCTTGGTTCCACAGGTCCCCGGGAAGGGGTGAGGCAGGCTACATAAAACAGAGTGAGACCCAGTCTCAAAAAAGAAAAGGCCGGGTGCAGTGGCTCACGCCTGTAATCCTAGCACTTTGGGAGGCCGAGGCGGGCAGACTGCCTGAGCTCAGGAGTTCGAGACTGGCCTCAGCAACATGGTGAAACCCCATCTCTACTCAAATACAAAAACATAGCCGGGGGCGGCGTGCGCCTGTAGTCCCAGCTACTCCGGAGGCTGAGGCAGAATTGCTGGAACCCGAGAGGCGGGGTGTGTTGCAGTGAGCCGAGACCGCGCCACCGCACTCTGGCCTGGGTGACAGAGTGAGACTCCGTCTCCAAAAAAAGAAAAAGAACAATAAGGAGCCATACTGTGTCTCTCACTCAAAAAGTCACATGGTAATTGCAAGCCCCTCGCTCCGTTCCCTCTCTTTTTGCCAGAAGATGGACCTGTTTATCCCTGCAAATGCTGAGTCTCTAAGCACACCATGGTCTTTCTGGGAGACCAGGGTCAGCTATTAAGGTTTTTAGCAGCTACATTAAGGAACAAAAATAAATAAGATATAAGTACATCAAAAACTACGCTGGTCAGGCACAGTGGCTCATGTCTGTAATTCCAACACTCTGGGAGGCCAAGGTGGGAGGATCACTTGAGTCCAGGAGTTTGAGGCTGCCATGAGCTATGACTGCACCACTGCACTCCAGGCTGGGCCATGGAGCAAGACTCTGTCTCAACCAAATAAATCCCACTGTTGCTTAAGTTCTCAGGACGTGGGAATTATATGTCCTGTAATACTGTCATATGTGGACGCAAAACTAATTTCCTTCAGTGTGAGAGACTTAACCACTCACAGGCAGCAAACTGACATGTGACAGTGTATGCTCAGGGACGGAGTCTCACCCTGGCACCCAGGCTGGAGTACAGTGTCGCCGTCGTGACTCACCGCAGCCTTGAGTACTGGGGCTCAAGAGATCTTCTCATCTCAGCTTCCCGAGCAGCTGGTGATGGAGGTGCATGCTACTGCACCTGGCTACTTTTAAAACTTTTTGTAGAGACAGAGTCTCACTATATTGCCCAGGCTGGTCTCGAACTCCTGGGTTCAAGTGATCTTCCTGCATTAGCCTCCCAAAGTGCTGGGATTATAGGTGTGAGCCACTGCACCCGACCTCACCAAGATTTTTAAAAGGAAGAGCTGACAGTGTCTTGCACACAGGAGAAGAAATCCTGGCTGAGTGAGGGAACAGCTGAGTGAGGCTGAGTGATCAGGACAAGGAACCATGAAAGTGACAAAGGATCTCAGTGGATGGCGGAATCAACTCTCAACTTACAGTATCAGAGAGGGGGTCAAAACATCAACTGGTGACCACTAATACCCACCCTCCAATAGAGTAAGCAACACCCATGACCCCACCCAGGGCCCGGCCCTAGCACACCTCAAGCTGCCCTGATGGGCGGGAGGAGGGAAGGACAACTGTCTATAGAGCCAATCTCGCATGTTATGCGATTGTAGGGTTTGAGGAAGGAGAAGCCACAGGTGCAATGATTAGAGTTCCAGGGAATAGCTACACTATGACCACTTCTATTTTAGTTCAAGAGATACAACAAGAATAAAAGATGATAGCATATGTACCAAACCATTAAAATAAGTGACATTCGGAACCTGGTTGGGCTACAGAGTTTTATGGCAGCTGCTTTTTTTTTTTTTTTTTTGAGACAGAGTCTCGCTATGTCACCCAGGCTGGAGTGCAGCGGCACAATCTCAGCTCACTGCAACCTCTGCCTCCCAGATTCAAGCAATTCTCCTGCCTCAGCCTCCTGAGTAGCTGGGATTACAGACGCTCACCACCACACCTGGCTAATTTTTGTATTTTTCTTTTTTAGTAAAGACAAGGTTTCACCATGTTGGTCAGGCTGGTCTCAAACTCCTGACCTCATGATCCACCCTCCTCGGCCTCCCAAAGTGCTGGGACTATAAGTGTGAGCCACTGCGCCTGGCCTTTTTTGTGTGTGTGACAGTCTCACTCTGTCACCCAGGCTGGAGTGCAGTGGCGCGGTCCTGCTCACTGCATCCTCCATCTCCTGGGTTCAAGAGATTCTCCTGCCTCAGCCTCCCGAGTAGCTGGGATTACAGGCATGCACCACCATACCCAGCTAATTTTTGCATTTTTAGTAGGGACGGGGTATCGCCATGTTGTCCAGGCTGGTCTCAAACTCCTGACCTCAACTGATCCACCTGCCTCAGCCTCCCAACGTGCTGGGATTACATGCGAGAGCCACTGCGCCCAGCCAGCAGCTGCTTTTAAAGAGAGGACTTCCAGTACCCTAGGAGCAACAAGAGCTCAGTGAAATTCCAGGGACTTCCATCCCAGCCCCTGCCCCAGCCCCTGGAACTCCAAATCCTCCACTTTTTTGGAAAATCTGCCCCCAGCTCCAAACACCTGCTATGAATTACCATGCACTAATTTAAGGCCACGCAAGTTCTGAGAACTCCACCCAGGATCCAAACAAAACCAAAATGATGCAATGAGGAAATACGTTGAGCCTGAACCAAGGACCCCCTGGACACAGCCTGCCCTGCCATGAGCAGGAATCCCAGGAAACAGAGGCCCCACCTCCCACAGGAAGAGGGGCTGTGGCTGGGGTGCCATTGCCACAGCGCCCACAGCAGGTGTTCTGGTGACAGATCGCTAACACTCAGCCACTCGCTAGCACGATGTCTGAGGTCAGGGTAAATGGTCGGCTAGATGAATTCGGAGTGAGTCCTGCTCTAAAGCGGCGAACTGAGTCCTCTGACTGTGGCTCCACTACTGTGGCTGCTATTGTTTGTAAGACACTCTGAAATCCTAGCGGAGTGTCCCAGGTGGGAAGTGCACAAATCCTTCCAATCCATGCTCTCCTTACGCTTTTGCCAGGAGCTCTCAGGGAAGGATTTGTCCGAGGTCACAGGGCAAGTGGCAGAACCAAGGATAGAACTCAGAACACTGGGTCTGAGACACGCAGAGCTGCCTGCAGGAAGTGCCCTGGTGCTCTCACCTCAGCACACGAACACGCACAGAGAGAGGAGGCGAAGCTTGGACTGGGGGCTGCGGCTCCCTGCCCAGTGTTCCCGCCCACAGCCCCCCTCTTTCAACTGCACATTTTAAAGGCTTCATGAAGAACCCCAAGTGGAAACCCCAACATGCTGCCCTGAATCGTCCACACTCCAGGGGGCTCTGACGTCCCCACGTGTCGCCACGTAGTCTTCAGACCCCTTACCAGAGCTGGTGAGTGTGACGCCATTCACTGTCCCCTCCACATCTGTCTCGTCCTCGGCGTAGCTCAGGATCAGGTTCTGCTGCCGGCTCGTTAGCCTCCTGTGGATCAAGCAGAGTTAGCAGCCAAGGCTTCCGCCAGGAAGCTTTGGAAAGAACTCACAGGCAGCCAGTGCTCTCGAGGCACATGGGAGGAGAGGGACCCAACCCTGGCAGGGGCAGAAACCCTGAGCCAGTGCAGTGGTGAGAACCTAAGGACCACGCCCTCAGAGCTTCTGTACAGAAAAGCTAATAAAACACCCTAAGTCGTTTAAACAAGTGTCACTATGGCTATGCTAAATACAGTTTACAGGAGGGGAAACAGATTTTACAAGTCTGTGTGTGAAGCAGGTAAGAAATTATCTAATTATGCCAGGCATGGTGGCTCATGCCTGTAATCCCAGCACTTTGGGAGGCCAAGGCGGGCAGATCACAAGGTCAGGAAATAGAGACCATCCTGGTCAACAAGGTGAAACCCCGTCTCTACTATAAAAATTAGCTGGGCGTGGCGGTGCGTCCCTGTAGTCCCAGCTACTTGGGAGGCTGAGGCAGAATTGCTTGAACTTGGGAGGTGGAGGCTGCAGTGAGCCGTAATTGCACCACTGAACTCCACCTGGAGACAGAGCTGGACTCTGTCTCAAAAAGAAAAAAAAAAAGAAAGAAAAGAAAAGAAATTAATTAACAAAAAGCACGGGTGCTCCCGAGGGGAGTCAGGCATGTCCTGCCCTAGGTACTCACAGCACTCTGCCCAGGCTGCCTCTCCAGCTCCTAACAGTGCCAGTAACATCAATGAGAAAATCAACGGGCCAGGCATGCTGGCTCACACCTGTAATCCCAGCACTTTGGGAGGACAAGGTGGGCAGACCA